TGCCATCTCAAAGGCTCGTCATCTTTGTCATAATTAATATATAGAAAAGTGAGCCTTGGCGAAACAGAGTCCTCTCCCTGGCATGATTACTGCTCACTCTGAAAGTGCTGTCTCTTGTGCGGGGCTTGCTTGCAAGCTCCCGTCTCTCCCTCCTCCTGTCCCCCCCCTTCTTTCCACCTCCCCACCGTGTCATCACCACCCCAGAGCAGGTAGTGGACTTTCTTACACGTGGTGCCACCTGTACGCATTGGTAGAGTCAGGATTGAGGCTGACCTGACTTCCAGCCTCTTTCGTTTGCTTTGGGATCTATTTCCAGATCCCTTTTGTTCAGCAGCGAGGAGTGCATATCCTTAACTTTAAATAAGTGTGTAGAGAGTCGGTGTTGTATGATGCTGCCTGCTTGATAGTTGATGGTGCTTTAAAAAGAGAACATGTGACAACATCTTTATGTGTAAATATTGACCTGGACAATTGGAAGATGATTGTATGGTGTGTCATGTACTTTGCATTTGATTTGTATAAGCAGCAGGACGGTTGACCTATGATTCGGTAAGATTGTATCTCACTCTACCCTAAGGCTCCCTTTTTGAATACCAATAAAATGTGACCATCAGTGGCTCATGGGGGCCAGGCCACGTCCCTTCTCCTAGTATCAGAAGTGATTCTCCTCTCACCGCTGCCCCTTCCTGCTGTCTCCCCTGTGTCTACCCCGAACTCCTAAGCTGTGTGGAGCGTGAAGTCCAGAACTCAGAGTTCCCGGGTCAGTGCCTCTGAGTGAGGCTCTCCCACCCCCTTTTTCTGTGGCACTTTCTCTGCTCTTCCAGTCTCTGGAACTTGGACTCTCCATTCCTCTGTTACATTTGTTTATTCCATTGTTTGAAAAAATGCTGGGGTGTCCCCGGTGTGTTGGGCGCGTGTTCATTCCAGGCCACAGCACGAGGTGTAGCTGTCGTGCCTTCCAGAAGCGCCGTTGGGTGGAGGAGGCCTTGGCGCCTGGTGCCCCGTTCACTGTCGTGTGCGGCCCCTCCTCTTGCGTGTGTCGGCCCTGGCAGGCAGGGACCGAGCTTTATAAGGGTGCAGTGTCCACTCCTCAGCACACAGCAGCCAGCAGGTGCCCGGTGACAATGGGATGCAGTTGGAGGTCCGGGGTGAGGATTTTTTGAATGTTCTCCTTTCCAAACTATCAGATGAGGTAACAGTTCTCCTTTCCCTGGAATGCGATAACGTACGTGACAGCCCTATAGAAAAAGGCAAGTGACGTAGCAAGGCAAGTTGTTACCTTCTATCCACTTCTTTTCCTGTCCTGTATCACCCTATTGCTATTCCCACTGTCCCTTTGAGACCATTTCCTTCTGCCCTGACGCTACCTCTTTCCTTCCGCCCTCAGCGGCTGCGGAAAACAAGAGTAAGAGAAAAATCTGCCTGGTTCTGTATCTCTCTGTCCCTGTGGCTTCTCTCAGTACACATCTGAAATGTCACTGTCTTTTTCTGTATGTGTCTCTCTCAATATATTGGGAGACTGCTGGGACTGCCGGGGAGAATCTGGCTCCACGCTTGACGGGAGCACCCTGCTCTGTGTGTGTCTGTGCGTGTGTGTCTGTGTGTGTGCGTGTCTGTGCGTGTGCGTGTGTGTGTGTGTGACATCTCGTGCTGCTTTTGGCATGTGTGTGATCTTGAATCTCAAGCATTTTCGATGGTAGGAAAAGCGTGTGTTCTCTTAGACTAAACCCAGTGTCTGAGCACCTACAAGTGGCTGATAAAATCACAGAATTTTCACACCTGTGGAATCTGCCTTCCGGGTGGACACCTGGCTGCCAAAGCCATAGAAGCATGCAGAGGTGCAGGTCTGGGGGAAAGACATTGCAGCTTGGGCTGATGTGAGGGAAAGGGATGAAACTGAATCCTAACTAGTGATAAGAAATGAGCTTCGTTGCTTACATTAAATTTGTATTTTCCCTTGCCCTTTCGCCACTTAACGAAATGAGCATGGGGGAGAGCTTGGGATAAACAGCAGGGAGAACATCTAGTAACATACCTCGGTGTAATCTTTCTCTTTTGAAAGGGACCTTGTGTATGATCTCAGTCTCCCCTGAAAAGCAGTGACATTAGCCTTTTTTGGCCTGAATTTTTGTTTCTTACCAAAATGAGATTAGAAGCTTTTCTACAGGCAGAAAAGTCCTTCATGGACACACAGTAATGAAAACACTTGTTGAGTTTTTGTGTTGTGATGGAAACGGAATGAGGAGCTGTCCCCTGAGAAGGAGCTGAAAATCCTCCTGAGCTGTGCGGTGACAGGTCTTGCTCAGGCTACTCCTGACCAGACTCAGGGAGTGCCCTGCCCCATGCTTGGAGGGTGGGGACTCCTTGTGCCTCCCAATCGCAGATCCCCCCCACCCAGCCTTGAGCGCCCTTAAACCAAAGCTTTCGGAAGCCTGCTATCTATTCAGGCCCATCCCCGTGAAACTGAATAATGGAGATAAAATTCATCTGTGAGATCATGGAATTGCAGAAAAGACCTTGTTGGATTAGCTGACAAACTGCCAGTCCAAGGAAGAGTCCAAACCCTGGCCCAGCTCAGGCTACTTCACCACGAGCCAGGGAGTCAGGCCCACAGGGCAGGTGGAACTATGCCTTGTTTATTCGGTCAAGAAGCATTTACCGAGAGCCTGGTGATCCAGCAAGATGACAGCCTTCCCACAGGTTCCTCACGCCCTAGGAAGGGAGATGGACAGATGTGAAGATAATAGGAATGCTTGCTGCGGTAGGACAGAGGCGAGCAGGAGACCAGGGAAGCCCAGAGCAGCACAGAGCTCTGGCTGGGCATGGGCAGAAGAAGCAAGGACTGCTGCTTCGGGGAGGTGGCTCTGAGCCTCACAGAAAGGGAAGGGGCTTCACCTGGGCAGAAGAAGGGTGGCAGGCAGAGGAAGGCCTGCAAGGGCCTGGAGAGAAGTCAGTTCAGCAGCGTTTTGCAGAAGGCGGGGGCCTCATTTGGGGAATGTCCTAGCACATCAGACATGGTGTCTGTCCCTGTTTCTTTCGAGCACCCACCCAGTTGTCTACTTGTTATCTGTGGCTGCTTTCGCATGACAACAGCAGAGTTGAGTAGCTGCAGCAGACCGTGTGATCCACAGAGCCTAAGATATTTGCTGTCTGGTCTTTTACCAAAAAAAGAAAGTTTGCTGACCCTCGATACATTTTTATCCTTGCAATAGAATGAGGAGGACCCGAGGCATGAGTAGAGGGTTGCAGCCCTCCACCCACGAGTTCCCTTCACCCCATGCCACCTACTCAGTAGCCTCAAGTGTCAGTAGCTTCTGGCTGCAAGTATTCTAGAAATAGAATAGTATCTGTGATGTAAGAGGGGGCACCTCCCCCCAAGTGTCCCCTAAAATGTGTGATTACCCCAACCCTCGCCTGTCGTAGTCTGTGCCTTCGTTCACGGAACCGCTGCTGCGTATTTGCTTGGCGAGTGTTGCCCGGCAAGGTCAGGATTGAAACCAGTGATGGGAGGGGTAGCCGTTGATGCACCCCCTCTCTTCCCTGGTGCGACAGCGCATTTGTTGGGCTTCTGGACCCGGCATGTGGGAGCTGTAGGAAGAGCCGCAACCCCGAGCCTGCATCTATTTTAAAAACGCAGAGAATGTGTTTCCAGCCGCTGTGCATTTGAAATGCTGCTTTCCCAGATGCAGGAGTGAAGGTTGTGAGGAATGACACAGCAGATGCCAACCTACGAGCACCCGCTGTGGTCCGTGGCACCTGCCGTGGGGAGTGCGAGACTAGACTCTTCACGAACGTTAACTTATTTAAAGAGCTGCGTGAAGCAGAGGCGTGGCCATTCCCATTTTACAGATCATGAAACAGGCTCTGACAGGCTGTGTAACCCCCATTTTGACTACGAAATGACACTGCTTCCAGCCACGAGGAGGAGTATATTGATTTTTATGCTCCAGTTATTCTTAGCAAGTAGGAGGCTCATTGAAAACACTGGATTAAGAGGTCAAGAATTTCCGCATTGCACACAGTCAGAAGAACTGGTTTCCAAGGGGCAGGTACGGTCCTCCTCAGCACTAACCTCTGTTTAAATACCCCCGTCAAGTAGTATTACAGTTTGGGATCTAATTTCTTATTAGTACTTTGTATAGAAAACTGTCAGCAGTAAATAATGATGAACTAATGATGAAATTTTCCAAACATTTCTGGACAAGAGAAGCATGTAGGTTTAGGGTTATCCTGTTTTCCAGCTGAAATAATCAGTCTTACACACAAATCCGATCACAACCATCCCCTCCCTAAAACTTTTCATCGTTCTGCCGTGTCTTTAGGATAAAGATCAAAGTCCTTATTGAAGTTAACAAGGAATAGGAACCTCCTCTAGCCAAGTAATACAAAGGGAGTTTGTTGGGAGGAGATACTTAAAGAGTAAGGAGACCTTCATGAAATCTAAGAACCGGGTCTGTAAGGAGCTGCACCTCATGGAGCCGGAGCCAGAGCCCTTTGCTATGGCACAGCTGTGTCTGTGGCTTCTGCTCCTCTGTCCACCAGCTCCGTCGGTCTGTTTGTCCCCCGCCGGCTTCCTCAGCTTGCACATGTCTTCACGACATCTGTGCGTGGCCTCAGCTTGCCGCACAGCCTGGAGTGGCCCGCCAGCCCTGGCACACCTTCCTAATCTCATGGCTTCACTTCCTGCTCCCGGCTTGTTTGCTTTCTCAGCTTCCAAATTGCAAATTTTTTAAGCTGGTTGTCCGGTTGGCACAGCTCACCCTTTTGAGTGAGGCTGCATGTGTCATAGGTCTCTGACCCGCCTGTAGGTGGGCAGACCTGGCGTCAGTGCAGACCAATCAGATACATTCGGAGCCATAGGGGTTCTAGGAATCAGAACATGGCTGCCAATATGGACTTCTCTTTTTTTGGTTTTTCTCCCTGCCTCTCTGCTCATAAAGATGTTAGGCTTGTGCTTTGTAGACTTCATGGTATCCTTTGTTGTTCTCTGTCTTTTGCAGATATCATTAACGGAGCTCAAGAAAAATGCGTATTGCCTCCTATGGATGGCTACCCCCACTGCGAGGGGAAAATCAAGGTAAGGCAGGAGCAGCGCGGGCCCATGTTCATCTTCTGGATCTGCACCAGCACCTCCTCTTCCCCTTCCCTCCCTCTGCCTTCCAGGGATGCAAATGACTTTCCCCTGAGGCAAGTCACTCCTGCCCGTGTTGGGCTGTGGCCATGACAACTGGCTCTGCTCATGCCAACTCCGCAGGGTTGGGCAACAGTGGCTCTCACTCTCGGCCTGAAAGAGCCTGGGCCCTTTCGGGCACCTGCTGTGTCTTTGAAGTCGCCTCCCCCTCTGCCTTTCTCAGCATTTAGTGGGACCAGTGACAAGAGGCTGCCATTATTTAACGTCCAACTCCCTTCTCCCCAGCCCCCTGCTCTGAGGTCTCCAGATTATGGTTTAAATGTCACATTAATGTTTGTGGTTGAGTACCCAAAGATGCTGGACTGTTCTTGTACTCTTAACCTTTTTTAAAAAATCCCATTTGTGTGGCCTGCCCTTGGGAAGACAACTGCCTGCTGGTAGTTTTCGGAGAAAAGGGTCAGTTCAGGTGTGCACCTAGGACGGCAGGGCCGACCCCAGAAGCATGTGCGTGGTCTCCGTTCGGGCCGTCTGTGAACGCTCATTCCCGCCCTGGTCCCCGCACCATGTGTCCAGGCACCGTGCTCTGGGCTGTTGGAACTAGTTCCCGGAGGGGGTGTGTGCACGCAAGAGTGCACTTGCTTTTTGCCTTTGGCACTTGCTCTTGGTAGAACTCTCCCGGCCATCACCTCTCCTGGGCTTTATTGCCCGAAGTGTCTCCCGGCCTCGCGCCTGTCTGGGCACCTCTGCCGAGGCTGCACGAGCCCCTGTCCACCTGTGTGTCAGCCAGGAGCTGAGCCGAGCACCTGGCCGTCTCGGCCTCAGCTCAGTGGCACCTTCGCTCAGTCCTTTAGGCCACGGCTTGAGCCGTTCACCCCGTGTCCACCCTTCAGCCCTTCTCTGTGAGCAGGCGTGCGGGGCCCTGGGAATGGCTGCTCAGCGATGTTCTGCTCTGGCTCTCGTTTCAGTGGATGAAAGACATGTGGCGTTCGGATCCCTGCTACGCAGACTACGGAGTGGATGGCTCCACCTGCTCTTTTTTTATTTACCTCAGTGAGGTGAGTAGCTGCTTTTGGCTCCTAGGGGTAGATGTGACCGTGCCGTGTTGTAGCCGAGCCTGGAATTTGAAAAGCTTAAAGCTGTGCATTGTTTCTATATGAAGGACCTGTATGAAGGACCCTATATGAAGGACCTACTTCCCCCACCTCCCCAAGAAGGATGATTTCTTTTCCCCCCTTAAGGGAAAAACAGGCTGAGTTAGCTATTTACTTTTTTCCCCCAAATTTATTTTATTGCAATAAAAAACACATGAGGTTAGTCATCTTAACCATTTTCAAATGTATAGTTCAGTGGCATTAAGTACATTCACATCGTTGTGCGACCGTCACCACCATCCATCTCCTTTCATCTTGCAAAACTCTTTCATCTTGCAAACTTGCATCATAACTCTCTTTCATCTTGCAAAGCTAAAACTCTATACCCATTAAATACTAACTCCCCATTCCCCCGACCCCCAGCCCCAGCCAACCACTGTTCTACTTTCTGCCACTGTGAGTTTGACTACTCTCGGTAACTCATGTAAGTGGAATCACATAGTATTTGTCCTTTTGCAGCTGCCTAATTTCACTTAGCACAATGTCTTCAAGGCTCATCCACACTGTAGCATGTATCAGAATTTCCTTCCTTTTGAAGGCTGAATAATATTCCGTTGTGTGTGTATTTCCACATCTGGCTTATCCATTCATCCATCCAGGGACATGTGGGTTGCTTCCATCTTTTGGCTATTGTGAGCAACACGGCCATGCACATGGTGTTCAAATATCTCTTCAAGACCCGGCCTTCAGTTCTTTTGGGAGTTTACCCAGAAGTGGAATTGCTACATTGAATGTAGCATTGAAATGCTACATTGTATTTTTAACTTTTTGCTACATTGAATGTAGCATTGAAATGCTACATTGTATTTTTAACTTTTTGAGGAACTACCACACTGTGTTTCGCAGTGGCTGCACTATTTTACATTCCCACCGGCAGTACACAGGTGTTCCAGTATCTGCACATTCTCACTGACACTTGTTATTTTCTGGTTTTTTAATAGTAGCCATCCTCATGGGTGTGAGGTGGTATCTTATTATGCTTTAGGTTTGATTTCTTTAATGATACTGATATTTTCTGGGCTTGTCGGCTGAGTTGGCTATTTACTTACAGGCCGAATTAGTTACTTCTACCTTCTTTCTTTTTATCTGAGCTCCATTTCCATTTGTACCCTCTACTTTAAATAGCTCCCTCCCTGAGGGTTGCAGAGCATTTTATAGACCTCATGGAATTTGTGCCAGGCTTCTGTGATGTCTGTTTCACTTTCAGTAAAATCAGGGAGTGGGGAAGGGTTAAGACTTTGCCTCGGGCATGCTACAGGGGAAGAACCTTCTAGGGGATCGCAGCCTGCTGGCTTCCCCGCTCCCCTCCGTGGACAGGGCAGCCCTGGATCTTGCGAAACAGCTAATTCAGAGGATGGGCCTCGGCAGACCCTCTGCTGCCTAATTTTTTTAATTCTGTCCCGTTTTTGTTCGGTGTTGCTATTGTCATTTGAAGCATAGTAACGGCTCCCTGGAGATGCCGTGCAGGAAGGGGAATGCTTCCGTTTATGGGGCTAAATTAAATGCTTTTGCCATAGTTTTCCTTGAGGGATTCAGACACCTCTCTTTTCTGTGCCATAAGGTGACAGGGACAGCTTCTTTGGGGGATGGGGTCAGACTAGCATTGCGATAGGGCGTGTGCCCCTGGATTCTGTGGGGTTTGCCCCTCTCCTGGCCCACCACCTCTCCTTCCTGCTACACTCAAGTCAGGCTGTTTTCTTTTGGATGAAGGTGTTCCATGGTCACCCATGGCTGTCATGAGGACCCCAGAGCTAGTGATAAAATTCCTCTTGGAAGTGGAAAGCACCGAGGGTTGGGTGTGGAGTGCTCCTCATTAGCAAGCTGCTGGCGAATTGACTTGGGAGCATTTATGCAGCCGTGTTTCTGGCTTCTGGCTTTCTGGCTCTCCTGGCCATGCCAGGCCTGCCGCCTTATTTCCTTCTGCAGAGGAGAAAGGCCTGGGGCCGTGGGTGAACCTTCACTGTCGTGAGAAGTCAATTAAAAGTGCCTTTCCTGCCCAGAGGAAAAGGTTCTTCATTCTGTTTAATTTTCAGAAGTTTTCTTCCCCTTTCTGCTTGATGGAATTTAGCCAGAGTCCAACTGTGCTCCGTGATTGACAAGCTGGGCTAATTTCATGCTTTCCTAAGAGTTTGTGTGTTGGGGTGTGCAGCGGAAAGAGAGGATTTTACATTGCTGTCCCAGCCCCCTCCACCTCCTGGGCCAGTGGCCCAGATTGAAGGGACAAAATTATTTCTGACCTCTTCCCTTCCTTTGGCCACTGCCCCACCCCCACTCCTGATGAAGGATGGACATGGCAAGGCTCAAAGAAAAATGAGATTCTGGGAGGGAACGGGCAGGTGAGAGGAGTGGGGGGCAGACCCAGTTGTATGAAGACGTGATGGATCACCTTGTACTGATTATCAGAGGCTGAGTGCTTCATTTCAAAACCTGTAAACTATTTTTTCTTCCTGAGGGTATGCAGTGGTGCTTCATTAGCCCATTCCGCTCTCTCCATGTGCAGCTGATCAGGTGGTTTTTGTTGTTTGGCTAAATTCAATTCAGTGAGCAATTATTGAACTTCTATTGTATTCATTGTCAGTGGTTAATGAGCCATGCTCCACATTCATCATCTTAAAAGAGGCAAATGGGAGAGAAGGGAGGAAGGATGCAGGAATCTTTTTTGAGGTTTCAGTCTGAAAATAACCCCGACCCTCTGGGTTTTTAGAAAAATTTCCATGTCATCCTAGTGTCGTTAATAGGCACTGAGAGTTTGAGGATAATGTCACCAGTATGGTCACTTCAGTAGGAACACTGCCATAGAGCCTTGTGCCTGACTTCAGCTTCTGTTTCTGCTGCTTTCCAAGTAGTATGATTTTTTAGAAAAAAGTTAATTAACTTTTGTGCCTTGGGTTCTTCCTTTATAAAATAACAATTTTAATATTGTTAAAGGCCCCTACTGTGAGGATGTTGTAAGGATTCCTGAGTTTATATGGGAACATATTTGGAGTAAAAACCTGGCAGATAGACACTCAATACACATAACTGATACTTGATGGTTTTTTTAATGTTGTCATTATTGAGGGCAGCTGTGGTGTGTCACTTAGCCTTGGACATTATGTGTGGGACCTTGGTTCTATTTTAGAGTAAGAATCAATTTCTGATTCTCATTCACCAGTCTCATTTAATTTTATGTCCTTTGATCTCTGAGAACATAGAAATTCTGCTGTTTCCCTTGAATCTCTATTTATTAATTGATAAATAAAAATTGTGTATATTTGTGCCATATAACTTGATATTTTAATGTAGGTCTACTTTGTGGAATGACGAAATCAAGCTAATTAACATGTGCATTGCTTCACCTGCATATTTGTGGTGAGAACACTCCCTTCTGTTTTGTTCTGGGCGTGGTACTTGCGTTTGGGTTGGAATGTGAGCTGGTGCGCCCCTGCAGCTGTTAATGTCAAGTTAGTAGCCATGTTTTCCAAAACCAATTAAATTTGTTTCTAGCATCTTTAAATTCCTGTACAATATCTGTGGCTTTGTAGGAACTGTATGTTAGTCCAGTTGTGTGGCTTTCTCTCTCTTGCTGTCTAGAAACTTACTCTGTTAACTCATTAAACTCTGAAAGCTGGTTTTTTTTTTTTAATTTCAGCATATTATGGGGGTACAAATGTTAAGGTTACATGTATTGTCCTTGCCCCTCCTCCCCCCTCGAGTCAGAGCTTCAAGGGTTTCCATCCCCCAGACGGTGCACGTCTCATTCATTATGTATGTATATACCCATCCCCTCCTCCCCCCTCCCACACACCTGATAAATGTTATTCCTGTATGTCCACTTAGGTGTTGTTCGGTGAAACCAATTTGCTGGTGAGTACATGTGGTGCTTATTTTTCCATTCTTGGGATAGTTCAGTTAGTAGAATGGGTCTCAGCTCTAGCCAGGAAAATACAACAGGTGCTGAAACCTGTTTATTTCCTGTATCACATGCCAGGTTTCTCTTGCATTTGGGAAAATGATTGAGAGGGACGTCTTCATTGGACTTGCTGACTTGATCAACACATGTACCAGTGACTTTTATTTTATTCTTATCCTTATTGGAAGAGCCAATTCTTGTTTAGATCTATGTTTAACATCAGAACTTTGACAGATACCTAAAGGACATGGAGTATCGTAAAATGCCTCTCGTATGGTCAGTCACCAGTGGAATTGATGTAAACCTCTCACCAACCCTGATGAGTTATGGAGAGCTGGGTCCGAGGGAGCCCAGAGGGTTAGTCACTTCTCTCCAAAGTCCTGCTCTTCTCATTGCTATTGTCTCCTTCATGTTGAAGGAAAACTAAACTCCGGACACTGACTTGTAGTCATTGACTTTACATTAAAAGTCTTATGCGTAAATCCTCTTGTCTTTGAAATATGATTCAGATTTAGCTAGTTTCAATTAATCTTCATTCCTAGTTTTCTAATACTCTAATTTTGTTACTCCACCCAAAAAAAAAAAAAAAAAACCACTAACCCTTCTGAGGACATAAGTCATAAAAACCAGGTGTCAGCCATTGCAAGTGGTAAGAGTCAGTGAATGATTCATTAGGCAGCCTTGTATTTCCAGAACTCGGGCAGTTCATTTTCTATATCTGTTTTTGTGAGCCATGTCACTACTCCCATTATAGAGACAAGGTCCTATAAAGTAATTACTCTGAATGTCATTGTTTCAGGTATATTAACTTAGCTGTCTGCAGAGCCTTTTATTGCTATCAGCTTTTACAAAATTTAGAATGTGTTTCTTTACTTCTGTTGGTATTATATTGATAGATGATGCTGATATATTTGGCACCCACACATTTCTTGTTTTTATATGGTTGCTGCAGAAGTTAGCAGGGATCATACCTCTCCAGACTTCTTAATTTGTTTGTGCTGTTTTTTAAAGC